CACTGCGTTTTTGAACTACGTGCGCAGCCAGGCCGGGAGTAAGGACTTCCACAAACGCCGGTTTTGCCACATTTTCGACAGTCGGGTTGTCAGTTGCGTCGTGGCGAAGGGTCGGTCTTCATCGCGACTGCTTAATCGGTTGTGCCGGCGGTTCGCCGCCTTCTCCATCGCCTCGAACACCTACGTGCTCACCTTCTGGACGGTTTCGGCTTGGAACCACAGCGACGCCGCCGGCAGGCGGCTGCAAGGCGAAGATGGGTAGCAAGAAGAAGCGGCCGTCCCGGGCCGCCCAGAGGAAGACGCACATCAAGTTCGAAGGGATACAACCGAAAACCGACAGACGTTACCGACTGAGCATTGCACGTTTTTTCGAATTTATTTCTTTGCATGAACGGCCGTGGCCCGAAACCCTGGACGACCTGGACGAGGAGGTGGGGGAGTATGTCAACCACCTCTACTTGGGCAGCTACCCGCAGGGCTGGGCAACGGACCTTGTGAGCGCCTTGAAGAGGTACTTCCCGAGATGCCGGAAAAGCCTCCATATCGCGAGCTTGTACCTCAAGAACTGGGCGCGGGTCACTGAAAGGCGCCGCGCAATCCCCGCAAGCAGGGACCTCGTCATCGGCATGGCGGTGGCGGCGCTGATCGAACGGCAGGTGCGGCTAGCCTTCGGGATCTTGATCTCGTTCGTAGGCCTCCTCCGAGTCGGGGAGATCGTCAGCGCGACTGGCCGGCAGCTCGCGATCTTTGGGGGCGGTTCGCTCCTGACGCTGGCGCCCCCGGACAGCAAAGGCGCCAAACGCACCGGCGCCACCGAGCAGGTGACCATCTATGACCCCTTGGTCTTGCAGCTCGCCGCCCTCATCGTGCAGGCCACCGAGCCGAACGAGAAGATCTTGCAGCTGACATACGCTGAGTTTGCCAAGGAGCTGGCGAGGCTGGGCCGGATGTTCGGCATGCATTCGTCGAGGTTCACCCCGTACTGCCTGCGGCGAGGCGGTGCCACGTGGCACTTTACGAAATACTCCAGCTACGACGCCACGGTCGATCTCGGCAGGTGGGCCCAAGTCCGCACAGCAAGGTTGTATATCGACCAAGCGACCGCGGAGACAACGGAATTGCTTCTCCCGGCCTGGGGGCTGCGACGGTTGGAGTCGGCTGTCAAAGTCATCAACGAGCTGGTAGCGCAGACTGCCGCTGATTTCAGAGCCGGTTCCCTCCCTCCACCCCACGGCTCTTGAGCTGGGGAGGGTGGGCTGTGCGTGCGGGGCTGGGGCCAGTCTCATGATCGATGGGGTGAGGGGCACATGGTGTCTCCCGCCCTCGCAGGCGCCGCCCGCGACGCGGGCGATGGAGAGGGAGATTTGGCGACAGTGCAGCGCGATCTTTCCGACTATAACTGGCACGTGTGGCCACGCCCCACGATGGGTGACGTGTTCATTCATCGCGGGCAGGAGGTTCGGGATCGAAGGATCCTCACCCCGTGCGCTCGTGAGCGCCAGGGTCACGGGCAGGTTTCTTGAAGCCTGCTCGGGGCCATGCTTTTGGAAGTTGAGTGCATGACCTCTTGAGGTGGATTTTTTGTAGGCCTCTTGAGGCGAGCAGCCAGGCATCGGGGGACCTGCTCTCCCTGTGTCCGCCTTTTTGAGGGCGTGCTGGCTGCTCTGGGCTTCCTTCGCGCGCTTCCGAGCGCGCTGTGCCGCGCCGCACTGGGTGCACTCGCGAGCGGAGCCGGAGAAAAAGCGCACGCAGACAATATCTACTGGTCTTGACCGGGGGGGTTGTCTAAGTGTGCTTGTGGGCTCCGCCTGTACAGGATAGGCCGGTATAACCAACATATGGACACAACAGTTGGCCATGGTCCCCGCACGCACGGAAATGGGCAGCATCAGCTTAGAATAACTGCCCGAATTTCCGCCCACTCAGACATCTCTCTCGCAGCTTTTTGGGTCCCACCGCCACCCCGCGCTGCCAGCCCAGGGCGACCGTGCAGCGCGATCTTTCCGACTATAACTGGCACGTGTGGCCACGCCCCACGATGGGTGACGTGTTCATTCATCGCGGGCAGGAGGTTCGGGATCGAAGGATCCTCACCCCGTGCGCTCGTGAGCGCCAGGGTCACGGGCAGGTTTCTTGAAGCCTGCTCGGGGCCAAGCTTTTGGAAGTTGAGTGCATGACCTCTTGAGGTGGATTTTTTGTAGGCCTCTTGAGGCGAGCAGCCAGGCATCGGGCCCAGGGCGACCGTGCTTGCGCTTCGACTCTGGCTTGCCCGCCGCGCTGTGCGCATCGAAGGATCCTCACCCCGTGCGCTCGTGAGCGCCAGGGTCACGGGCAGGTTTCTTGAAGCCTGCTCGGGGCCAAGCTTTTGGAAGTTGAGTGCATGACCTCTTGAGGTGGATTTTTTGTAGGCCTCTTGAGCGAGCAGCCAGGCATCGGGGGACCTGCTCTCCCTGTGTCCGCCTTCTTGAGGGCGTGCTGGCTGCTCTGGGCTTCCTTAGCTGTCCGAGCGCGCTGTGCCGCACCGCACTGGGTGCACTCGCGAGCGGAGCCGGAGAAAAAGTAGTAGTACTAGTCTAGTAGTAGTAGTAGTAGTAGTAGTAGTAGTAGTAGTAGTAGTAGTAGTAGTAGTAGTAGTAGTAGTAGTAGTCGTAGTAGTAGTCTAGTAGTAGTAGTAGTAGTAGTACTAGTAGTAGTAGTAGTAGTAGTAGTAGTAGTAGTAGTAGTAGTAGTAGTAGTAGTAGTAGTAGTAGTAGTAGTAGTAGTAGTAGTAGTAGTAGTAGAGTAGTAGTAGTAGTAGTAGTAGGTAGTAGTAGTAGTAGTAGTAGTAGCAGTAGTAGTAGTAGTAGTAGTAGTAGTAGTAGTAGTAGTAGTAGTAGTAGTAGTAGTAGTAGTAGTAGTAGTAGTAGTAGTAGTAGTAGTAGTAGTAGTAGTAGTAGTAGTAGTAGTAGTAGTAGTAGTAGTAGTAGTAGTAGTAGTAGTAGTAGTAGTAGTAGTAGTAGTAGTAGTAGTGGTAGTAGTAGTAGTAGTAGTAGTAGTAGTGTAGTAGTAGTAGTAGTAGTGGTATTTCCAGTATGTAGTGCAACGAGTATGAGTAGTAGTAGTAGAAGTACAAGTAGTAGTAATCGTAGGGGAAAGGGTCGTAGTGGATGTCTTTTGGAAGCTGCTCGGAGGCCTCTTGGGGCGTCTTCGGCGCCTCTTGGCGCATCTTGGGGACCTCTTGGGGGTATATGTGGGACCTCCTGGAGGCGTCGTGGTGCCTCCCGGGGATCTCTTGTGGCCCATCTGGGGACCTCTTGGGGCCATATGGTGGACCTCAGGGGGCCCTCTTGGGGGGCTTGTCTGGGCGCTGCCCCTCCTCCTGGTGTGACTCGTTCGGGCTCCTCGTGGTGTGAGTCGTTCGAGGCGCGCGTCGTGGTGTGAGTCGCTCGGGCTCCTCGTGGTGTGAATGGGTCGCGCGCCTCGTCCTGGTAGGAGTCGTTCGGGGTCCTCCTGGCGTGAGTCGTTCGGGTTCTTCGTGGTATGAGTCGTTCGGGCCCCTCGTCCTGGTGTGAGTCGTTCGGACTCCTCGTGGGGCCTCTTGGCGGCCTCTTGGAGCCTCTTGGGGCCTCTTGGGGGCCTGTTGGGGGCCTCTTGGGGGCCTCTTGGGGGCCTCCTGGGGCCTCTTGGGGGCCTCTTGGGGGCCTCTTGGGGGCCTCTTGGGGCTTGGGGGCCTCTTGGAGGCCTCTTGGGAGGCTCCTGGGGGCCTCTTGGGGCCATCTTGGGGCCTCTTGCGACCTCCTCAGAAGCGCAAGGAAGCGCTGCCCCCTGAGAAGGACAACGTGAGCCCAAAACCCTCGTACAATCAATGATTTTGCTATGAAGGAAGATGAGCGCGGCCCCCTCGGGAGGCCAAAATGGGGCCAAAACCCTCGTAAAAACAATGATTTTGGCTTCACAGAAGAGGAGGGGGCTACAAGAGGGTCCCCCCGTCGGAGCCAGAATCCTCGTGAGGGTAGTCGTTTTTTTGGCCCTCCCAGGCGTCGAAAAAGACCCTCCTGACCACCCGCGGGACTCCCTCTCCAGGCCCAGCGGGAGGGGGTAGGGGGAGGGGTAAACCCCTCCCCGAAAGGGAAGAAGGGGGGTTGGGGGGTTGAGAACAGAAAGAGCTCGCTAAACCACTCACGCCCAAAGGGCTGGTGGGATTTCTGGCGGTCAAGGGGGGGCGGGGATTCTGTCAGGGACTGGAGAAAGAGAGAGAGAGAGAGAGAGAAAAAAAAAAAAGAGAAAGAGAAAGAGAGAGAGAGAGAGAGAGAAAAATAAGAAAAGGAGAGAGAGAGAGAGAGAAAACAAAAAAGAGAGAGAGAGAGAGAGTCAGTCAGAGCGAGCGAGAGAGAGGGAGAGAGAGAGAGAGAAAACATAAAAGGGGAAATAGAGAAAAGAGAGAGAGAGAGAGAAAGAGAAACAAGACGAGGAGGAGGAGGCGGACAGGACAGAAGATCCGCATCAGGGGGTCAACGTCAACACACCTAGACTGGTGCCTTGCGCGCGTCTGCAAAAGGAGGAGGAGGAGGAGAAGCAAGAGGAGTTCGGAGGAGTAGGATAAGAGGTGTAGGAGAAGGGGGACAAAGAGGGACGGGGTGGAGGAGGAGGAGGATAACTCAGACCTCCGTCGTCGTGATCTTGTCAATCACGTTATTGTTGGTGTCGCTACTATTCCAGTTTAGTGACAGTTGGACATCTGGAAGCTGGTTTCGGGCCCAGTGACAATCAGAGGACGGCGCCGGATATGCCGCCAGGGTGGCCCAGCGTCGATCCGAGAAATCCTCCCGGAACTCCGACAGTTTATGTTTATGCAGTTTCTGTTGTTTCGATGTCAAGCAGTCGAGCGTATTAGACCCAGACCATAGCAATCACGTCAACAAGCAACAGCACACGGGCGCTGCCAAGTGGCCGATCACTGCGTGGTCTTCGGGGTGTCGGAGCTGGCGTCGGGAGGAAGCCGCCCAGTTGCTGCCAGACTTGGGGCCTTGGAGAGTCCATCCGCACTCGGGGCTCCCTTCGCTCGCCGCTCCCAGCGCCGCCGGCGTCGAGGGCCTGCTCCCGCGCGCACGTGCTTTGCGGTTAGCCTGTGTGCTCTTTGGTTACGCAGCCAGTCAGGCTCAAGCCAACATGCCAGCACCTAGAGCAGGCATCTAGGCCTCCTCGGGGTCATGTGGCCCTTCATGGCCGCGCGATCGTCGTGATCAGAACAGGATGTCGTGTGCGTTTTTGTGCGCGTGTCCTGCAGCCTTTCGTTTCAGAAGAGTTTTGGTTTGAAGTGCTGGCTATGGGGGAATATGTGCTGTCCGCTTGCAGCGACGACCAGGGAATATTTGCCACCGACCTCCACACTGGGGCCCTCGTGGCGACCTTCGAGGAGTCGGTCGCGCAGCCGTGCGCGTTTGGCATGGTCGGAGGCAGCTCTGGCCACGTGCACGCCGTGCAGGCGAACAAGGCGCTGTGGCACGTGTGGGCGTGGGGCGACAAGAAGCCCAGCTACCGCGCCAGTCTTCCCGAGAAGATGACAGCCATGACCTTCACGGGCGACGCGACGCTGTGTTTCGGGGGCGCCGCCTCCGGCTCCATCTACGTGTGGCAGGCCGCCACGGGGGCCCTGTTGAGTTGCTGGCCGGCCCACTACCGCGAGGTCACGCAGCTCGTCGTGTCCCAGGACGGGAGTTATGCTCCTCCCCCCTCCCCCCCTCTTCCTCATGCTCCCCGTTCAATTCCCCCTCCCCCTCCTCTCCCTCCTTTCTCCTTCCTTCTCCCCACTCCGCCCCTCCAAGGACGAGAGCCTGCTCGTCTCGGCCTCGGCGGACGCGAGCGTGAACGTGTACGCTGTCGCCGACGTCTGTGCCGAGAGGGCGCCCAGGCCTTTGCACAGTTGGTCCGGGCACGCGCTGCCGGTGACCTCGGTGGCCCTGCTGCCGGGAGGTGGGCTTCACCAGGTCGCGCTGCGCACACCCTGCTCCTGCTACTCCTCCTCGTCCTCTTCGTCGTCGTCGTCCTGCTCCTCCTCCTGTTCCTCCTCCTCCTCCTCCTCCTGTTCCTCCTCCTCCCCCTCCCCCCCCCCTTCCTCCTCCGTCTCCTCCTCCTTCTCCTGCTCGTCCTCCTCGTCCTCCTCCAGCCCCCTTCGTCCCAGAGGATGACATGCACGGGGTTCACAACACATTCAGGAGGTGTTGAGGAGTCGTCGCGCTCCTCGCCGCAGCGGCGCGCGCCCGATGGCGCTGGCGCCCACGAGGTCGGCGCTTCGGGTCTTCGGTTTCAACCCCATGAGCGCCACGGGGTTGCGGCTAAACGACATCCTCGTCTCCACCCGCTTTCGTGACTGCCTGCTCCTTTCTGGGAGAAAGGAGTTTTGTTAGAGAGAAGGAAGGGTACTACGACGACGGGTGGATGGGCGGTTACTCTTAGAAGATGTCTATCAACAAGGGGCGCACACAAATAACACTACGGGATGTTTCATTGTGTTGCCCACTGACTTTCGGGATTGGGATGTCGTTCAAACATGCGGTTCCCCCACCCATGCTGGGGGGAGGGCCATCGCTCCCAGAATAAAGACAGGAACTGTTGATGTTACGTTTGCGGCATTTTATTTCCCCCTTTTCAACCATCAAAACGGGGGCCAGCCTGAGCGTACGATGGTGCCGTGCAAACCTTAGCGAGGTGGTGGAGGTCGGCGTTGCAGGAAATCCCCGCCAGGACCCTCCCTATCTTTTTCGCCGACTTAAGCGTCGGGGCGGGGCTGAGTATAATCTCGGGGGTATGGGAAACACTTGTTTCGAGCTCAATAGGTGACACCAAGACCCGGGAGGCTCGTCGTCGAGGTGCGGGTGGGGAGGTTCGAAATCTTTTGGATGAATAACATCTGGTAGTGCCGCCGACATGTTTTACCATGCGAGCGCGCATGTTGTTCATCATCAGCACCACTGTCGGCATCTAGAATAGATGATTTCTTCTTCGCGACAGGTTTACCAAATCGTGTGCGACATTGTCAGACCCTCCTTGAGCTAGGGCCACGTCTTCAGCCGCTGCGGGGTCTCCCGCCACGAGATGAGATACCTGCATTGTTCACGCTTGATTACACCGAAAAGCCTTGCGATCTCCCAGCCCCACCACCGCCTCGAATGGACCTTTCCGCGCTCACGCAGGCAGTGCGTAGCGGTGCAGGCCGAGTCGGCTTTTTCCATTGACTTCGTTAGTGAAGCGATTGCGCGTTCGGGTGAGGCGACGGCTGTTGCAGAAACTGGCGCCCCGATATCTTCTTCGAGAAAATGGACATGGTTATCAGCCGCTCAGGGCAGGGGCACTTTGCACGACCAGCAATAGCCCCATCTTCCTCAGATACGGCGCAATTCCGATCATTCTTTCATCAACGTCACACACTACGTCTTGCCAGGGCGCAGGAGGGGAATTACTTGGAGAGGACAGAGTGACCAATGCAGCTTTTTTTTCCCAGCGCATGCAGAGGGAGAGGAGAAATGCGAAGAGGGTGGAGAGGGGCATGCTTGTAGAGCAGATCGAGGAGGCGTAGGAACAGCGACGAGTGACAGATGCGATGGCTTTGCCGCGGCGGTTGGCCCGCTGTTGGTTTGGGGCCAAACAGGGGGGCGGGCGACGTCTCGGGCTCCTCGATCAAATAGAAGCATGGATGTCTCACTCAGGGCTTCCTGGGCCAGAAGAGGGCACGCAAGCGCGGGGGCATTCATGGGGCGGGTGGCGCGCCGAGCGCGAGGGGCAACCGACGCCTCCGAAGTCGGCGGGGGACGAGCGTCCGATCGCTGAGAGAGCAGGCGGCGATTTTCAAGCGCTTCGCAAATATATGTGGCGGGCTGGGGAAAAACGCGCCGTTCCCCCTTCTGCGTCGCCATTCGAACTATGGGGCATAATGCCATCGCCTTATCGGAGGGAAAGTACGACGGGAACTTCGCGCGCTCTGAAGGGGTCGAAGGCTACGATCTCACGACCGCGCGCCGGACAAGAAGCGTCTCTACTACATTCTGCATCTTGGACTCTGCCAGGTTAGGACAGTGGGAATGGCCCCGCTGTGCTGGCACAGGTCCCGAGGCATCGGTCTTCCCGCAGCGGCAGATCCAGGGCCTCGAGGTCAACGCGTCATTCGCGCGCCGCCCGGAATAGGCGAGGCGCGGCGCGCCAAGCGACTTGCGCAGCGACTCCCTGAACGAGACCATGTATTCGCCAGGCGTCGCAGGCGTGGGGGCGCCATCCTTAGCTCGATGGCCATCGGATACCGGTTGCGACAGCCAGGGCGGGCGCTTGCGGTTACGATGAACGGTTTGTCGGACTCGTTCGGTAGCACGGATTGGCATTGTCTCGAGAAGCTAGTCGCTCCTGCGCATGATCGTATATTGCGTCGCCATAGGTGTATATATATACGTGCATACATACATACATACATACATATGCACATGTATACATATACATATATCTGTGTGAGTGTGTCTGCGTGTGTATGTGTATGTATGTATGTATGTATATTTGTGCATATATATATATATGTATATATTCCTCTGCTTATATTCCTACCAGCCCGGGCGGAGGGAAAACCCGCCCCCCCCCCCCCCCCCTCAAAAACAATTGGCTCCCGGGATCTGGGGCTTCGGGGCCCTCCGGACGGGCCTCGAATCAGCCCTCCGTGCCTCGTGGGGGGTTCTGCCGGGCCTTCCCAGCGCGCCTTGGGCGATCGGGGGGTCAGTGGAGACGCCCCAGAGACCCCGAAGACAGCGCAGGAGCGTTCCAAGAGTGACCGACGCGACCTCAAGACGACCCCCAGGAAGCCATCGCACCCCCGAAGATCGGCCCGAAACGCCCCAAGAAGCCTCCAGGGGCATGCTCCTCCCAAGAAGGCCCCAAGAGGCACAAATCATTGATCTTCGATTGGTTTTGGGTGAATTTGGGGGTTTTCCTTTGTTCTGATGCAAATTATGATGAAGGACATGAAGGAGATGAATGGGGGATATGAGGAAGGCAGCCAAGGATAACATGGCGGCCGTCAAAGAAGCCAAGGACGAGGCAACCCCAGCCAAGCAGCGCGCGGTGCAGGCGCGTCTAGGCCTAGCGGCCATGGAGGAGAAGGTCAGCAACATCGAGGAGAGCATCATCACGTCAGAAGACGTCCACAATATCGTCCTCGACTATCTCGTCGCGCGGTTCACCTCGCAGCGCGAGCTTTTCTACTTCGCCGTCGTCGTCACGCGCTGCAGTCGTTGGCAACGTTCCCACGGGTAACAGTTTGGACGAAGCGAAAGCATGGTTGACAGCGCATCGTCGCAAGCATGCTCCTCCATCCCCAACGGAGCAACACATGTATTTCGAGAGCGACTTCAGAGGCATAGTTTTCATCAAATTCACGCGCGACCTCGACAGGGGGCACTTTTCGAACTCCATCCGGGTGGCTGCCATGGCACAGCACGTCGCTCAAGGAAGGCGGTGCGGGCTTAGCCTAACCTCCCCATCAGCCCCCGCGCGGGGCAGAGCGTCTTGTTCGGCACCCGCCGGGCGCTCACGCAGTGGGGGTGCAACGAGACCTGCGCGAAGGACAGCGCGCGCTGCCCCCCCTCAGAGCTGTCGGTAGCCGGCGTCGCGGTGGCGAACACGGCGGTGGACGACTACGTCCTCTAGTCGCACTGGTTTGACGAGGAGCGGCGCGAGTGGGGCTGCCTGCAGCAAGCCCGGGAGCTTTTCGACATCATCGAGGGCGCCCAGGGGAAACTCACCAGGGCGAAGGCCATCAGCCAGACCGAGGATGCGGGGAAGGGTCATACATCCAAATGATTATCAGACGAGAGCCCACTGCGGCAGCCACTTGCCCTAATTCCTCATAACACGTTTCACCATCTACTAGAACCACCGTTCGATGTACAATGGAGAGCCGGGGCCAACCCGCCGCCGACGCACCCCTTCCCGGCCTCGCCTGCGCCCCCCGACCTGCCCACTGGCCTCCGGCCACCAGTTTCACATCATGGCGGTATAGACCAGGGGACTTCTCCGAGCGACCCTGGGGGGGAGATTTTGGGTCTCCTGCAGCGCGCAGCAGATGGCTCCGACCCCTACTCCAATTGCAATTGCTCCAGCTCAGGGGAGAACCTCGGTCTGGCTGCGAGGACTTCGTCTCCTACGTCTTCCGCGTAATCTACGTCTCGCACGTCTTCTATGTCTTCTACGTCTTCTTTGTTTTCTACGTCTTCTACTTATTCCTTTCTGCCCCAGCTCACTCCACGCCGCCGCCCGCCGCGGGCGGGGGCAGCGGGGCAGAAAGCGATTGCATTAGTTTTGTCACATACGAGTACAACGTGCATTCCCTCATCACCTTCGAAGAGCGCGTCGAACGATGCTTGAGAGAACTTGAAGTGCAGCACTGGGGCCCCATTGCATTTGCGGAGACGTGGCGCGACGGGCGAAAATAAGCATGGGGCGCCACAGATGGGCATGCATTCTTCGGGGGCGGGGGGCGCATAGATCTTGCGGTGCGGATTTCTTCTACATCAACGCTGGGGTCTCACGCAGTTTACTCTTGTTTTAAAGAGGTTCGCCGTTTTGGACGTCATCTTTGCCCCCGTGGGTGTGATTCGAGCAACCGCTGCGCACGTGCCCCACGCCGAGATGAGCGACGAGGAGGTCGTTGGAGTGCACGGGCAGATGGATAAGCATGTCCGGGAAGCCCGAAACAGAAATTACACGTTTGTAACAGCTTAGGATGTCAACGCGGAGATCAGGCCCCAGGATGAGCACGACGACCCCGAGATTAGTGGCACAAGCCCGATGCCGAAAAAGATGGCGCATGATCAACCACGTGACCATTACACATTATTTTGGGGCGTCTTCGCACGAAGATCCCTAGACTTTCCGGAATGCCGAACGACGCGGCGTGCCCAGGTGGGTTACATATTGGTGGGTCCTAGCCTGCGCTCCCGCGCGAATTCCAGTCACGTGGATGCATTTGGCTCAGACCACAGACCGGTCAGACCACAGTGCGCTTTCAGCACCGGCGCGCCGAGGAGAAGGGGGAGGGAACGCAGACGTGGTTCTTGGAAGCCGGGGTCGTCTCATGTCACTGCGTTGCGAGCCGCCCTCGACGACGTCGATTGGGGACTTTGCGACGCAGCTGAAAGAGTTGCCCACCTCAACTGGTGCACGCGGGAAGCCGCGCAGGAAGATATATGCGAGAGACTCCATGCGCAAATTCTCATCCTCCTCAGGGTTCCCACGCAGACGTCCAGATGCAATCGATGATCCTTCAAAGAAGGACTCTGCGCAATTCTGGTCTGGCACCCCTCGAGATAAAGAAGGAACGCCCGGGGCTGGGCAAGGCCGCGCAGAAGCTTATCAGAGAGAGATAAACCGTCGAGCGCCTTAGCAAGATCGGCGGGGCGCTCCGCGATTTCCGCGGCATCAAGCGACTCACTTCTCTAACTGGCAACTATGAGAAACGACGCATTATCGAGATGGAGAGCCAGGGTGGGATCACGCACAACGATAAGCAGGCCATCGCGGAGGTACTCGCGAAATTCTATGAAAACCTTTACGAGACAACGCCATTGGCAGCGGCAGAGTGCCAAATTTTACGCCGACGAGCTAGACGACGCCATCTGGCATGCCAAGAACGGCAAGTCCGGGGGCGATTCCGGCATATGCGCTGAGATGTTGCAGGTTGAGTACCGCGCGTTACGGCGCCTCGCGTTGGGGGCCTTCAATGCAGTCTTGAACCCATCCCAGGACATCCCGGAATATTGGTTGCCATATCGCATTATTGCGTTATACAAGACAGGAGAACCCGCACTACCGTCAAACTACCGCCCAATTGCAATCCTTTCAATGCTGTACAAGTTGTTCAGCCGGATGCTCTGCGGAAGGCTTCGCGGGGTCATTGATCGTGGACAGTCGGTCGACCAGGCGGCGTGCAGGCGGGGCTTCAGCACGGCGGGCCACCTGCTGTGCACGACTTTCCTTTTCGAGGGCAGCCGAGGCTACAACGTGGAGCTCTGGGTCGGCATGGTGGACTTCGAGAAAGCATTCGACGCGGTGGAGCACGACGCGCTATGGGTGGCACTGCGAGAGCAAGGCGCCCCGCACGTTTGCATCGACATCTTGAAGAGACTCCGCGCGAAGCAGGGGGCCACAGCAATGGCCGGAACACGGAGCAGGCAGTTTGAAATCTCACGCGGGGTCACGCAGGGCGACCCTATCAGTTCCTCCTTGTTCATGGTCGTGATGGGGGCTATCTTTCAGGAAGCTGAAGGCGCGATGTGAGAGTCTGAGCGAACGCCGTACGGGGCCGCACGGCGGCATCGTCGTAGACTCCCCGGACCTGCCCCTCACGAACCTCCGCTTTGCGGACGACGTTCTCCTGCCGTGCACAGACAAGAGGGACGTGGCCAGAATGATCGTGGACCCAGAGACAGAGGCGAAAAAGTGCGGTTTAAAGGTGCACGCGGGGAAAACGATGATGCTCACAAGCGCTGTTCCGCGACCGTCCACCGCGAGACGCACGGGGCGCGACGTTCGGGTCTTCCAGCAGGGGGGGCCCGAGAAATTCTCGGGCAGGAAGTCGAATTTGGATACTTACCACGAGACAGAGCTCACGCATCGAATTTCTGCTGGATGGGCAGCATTCTCCCGCTTGAAGGATGTCCTGTGCCGGCAGCGTCTACCTCTCCGGCATCGCATGCGTTTGTTCCATGCTTGCGTCGCCCCAAGCGTGATGTATGCCGCCGGAACTTGGACTCTGACCGTGGACCAAGAGCAGAAGCTTCGCACGACACAGCGCAGCATGCTGCGCAAAATGGTACGCGTTGGACGCCAGGCGGATGAATCGCGGGTCTCTCACATCAAGCGGGCCGCTCACATCAGCGAGGAGCTTGCCGCCAAGTTCGGAGTGGAGGATTGGACCGCGCTCTTCAGGAAGGCGAGAAAGGCCTTGGCCGACAAGATCTCCGTCTGCGCAGACAGCCGGTGGAGTAGGAGAGCGCTCAATTGGGCGCCGTGGCATAGGGTGCCAGCTGCGAGAAAGCGAGGCGGACAGCGCAAACGCTGGACCGACGCTTCACGACGACATTGTGTTTTCCATAGCCCGGCGCAAGGCCGGAGGTGTAGGGGCGCTCCTGACACCTATGGTCTCTCTCTCTCTCTCTCTTCTTTCTCTCTCTCTCTATCTCTTTTTTTTTTTTTTTTTTTTTTTTTTTTTTTTTTTTTCTCTCTCTCTATCTCTCTCTATCTCTCTCTCTCTCTCTTTCTCTCTCTCTTGGGCTTCCCGACGCTCCAAGACGGCGGTCACCCGGCCGTCCGAAGCCGCCTGGGAGGCTTTAAAAAACCGCCCCATAACCATGCCAAAGGGCTTCCAGGCTGTCCAAAAGAGCTTTAAAACGGCACAACAGGGGTCCAAGATGGCCCTCAGAGAGCCCCATGGCGGCCCAAGGTGGCCCCAAGACACCCTCCGAACCCGGTCGTTCAGGGAAACCGCGGTTGGAGGCAGGGCGACCCGAGGAAGCCCCCAGAGGCCCCCAGAACGCGCCCTAGAGGCCTCCAGAAGGCCTTATGAAAACTTGACATAACTTCTGCGAGGCCCCCATAGGCCCTCCAAGGAGGAGCCTCCGCAAAAAGAGCCGAGGAGGATGGGGGGAATGCGCCGGGCATGGCGAAAAGGAGGAAAAGAAACATAGAGGAAGGATGATAAATAACCTTACTATAGCGACGATGTCAGAAAAGGCAACAAGGATTTATCGCCAAATTGTCGGCTTGACCTTCCTGCTATTCCGCCTGCGTACCAAACTTCAAGGACCAAGGTGCATGGCGCGAAGCGCCACTGCAGTCTTGCATATATTTCGCCCCCTGCCGCCGGCCCTCTCTCTCGGAGCGTGCGCCGTGCAAGAGCTATGTCATGAGGCCTGGGTGCTGTCGTGAAGCAGCGTCGGACTTTCGTGCGAGGTCGAGTCGCAATGTGCAAAACCAATAGATGACCAGAGGGGTCACCACACCTGGCGATTGGTAAGACGTCGTGACCCTGCCGATCTGCGCGAGGGGTGCCACCGATGTTTCAAAAATGCTACACGTCCTTGCTGTTTTTGGGCCATGGCCCTTCGGATCCGCGTGAGGGGTGCCACTGATTTTCAGAAATGTTGAGAATCCCGTTGGTTTTCGGACCCTGGCCCCGCCGATCTGCGCGAGGGGTGCCACCGAATTTCAAAAATGTGGCAATTCCTTTTTGTTTTTGGACCCTGGCCCCGCCGATCTGCGCGAGGGGCGCCACCGGATTTTAGAAACGTGGCAAATCCTTTTTGTTTTTGGACCCTGGCCCCGCCGATCTGCGCGAAGGGGTGCTAGCGAATTTCAAACATGTGGCTAATCCCTTTTTGTTTTTGGACCTTGGCCCCGCCGATCTGCGCGAGGGGTGCCAACGAATTTATTACAAATCCCTTGTTTTTTGACCCTGACCCCGCCGATTTGCGCGAAGGGTGCCAGCAACATTTAGATATGCTGCAAATCCATGTTCTTGGACCCTGACCCCGCCGATCTGCGCGAGGGGTGCCACCGAATTTTCAGACACGCGGCAAATCCCATGTGTTTTTTGGGCCCTGACCCCGCCGATCTGCGCGAGGGGTGTCAACACGCGCCCAGGGCGTGCTAAACCTGCCCGTTTGGGCCCCTCCCCCCTCGCGCGGTCCATCAACAAGGAACAGTCAGCAGCAAGAAGCAGAACTGCAACGGTGGAAACTGGAAGATGCAACGGGCGCAGGAAACTGCGAACCTTTGCCCTGCAGCCGGGTGGCCCCACCAGGGGGCCGGCGGATATATATGTCGGTCGTAGACGTGGAGACCCCGTCAGGAATACCAACTGTCACGACGGCGGTGGGAGGCTCGATGGGGGGCCCTTTCAACGCCCAGGGGTTCGCGGGGGCGTTTTGTCGACCCTGTCAGCGCGCGGGCCGCGGAGGCGCGCGGCCAGATCCTTGTCGCGAAACTTTTTGAGGCCCGGGGGATGGGCGCCCCCGTAGATCTTTCGTTCCAGAAGTACGCTGATAACTTAATGAGGTTCACCCCCTCGCCCTGGGCGCGACGATGGAAGGGGGTTTTGTCCGACTTCGCCTTTTCGGTTGCCCTCCTGGACAGGGCTCTGGGCACTGCGGGGCACGTTCAGAACCGGGCCCTGCACATTGCCTGTTTTTTTTTTTGTCGGGGGAGAAAGAGCGGCTCAGCGCATGAAGTACATTCGGGAGGAGGGGATTATGAAAAGCGCTCGGGCGGCGTCGTCTCGGGCGCGGCGCGGTACTTAGGCCCGCTTTAAATTCGAATTCAACAGAGCGCGCCAGAAGTAGAACGCAGGGTGGCCGCAGCGACTTCAACTCACTGTAGCGCGGGCTCGTTCTGGGCACTAACTGCCCCAGAGAAGTGGGAAGGACCATATGTCTGGCGCGGGGCTCGTTGCTCTCCGGCATGGGCCTGTTCTCCTAAGCGACAAGCAATTGGCCGTCATAGATCATCACTTTACTCGTTTACGTCGCATGGTACTGCGGGGCCTTTCGTGCGCTGGGAACGAGGATTTGGTTGAGCGTTCGCTATCCACGTTGCATATTCTAGTCTAGACTATCCCGGTATCGAGGCTTGGCCGCCCACCAAGGGGGGGCACGCGCAGGCGCCGGTGGCGTTCTTCGCTGGAGTGCCCTCTGGGCTGGGCGACGGCTGGCCACGTCGCGACGCGGAAGGTCTCGCCGCTTACGCCGCTCCGCGGGCTAAGTGAGTCAGCGCCGACATTGAAGCCGCCGTTCGAACTTGCCCCGACGAAGCAAAATTATCAGGCCGAGTTGTCCTGTTTCCTTTACTTTTCTTTGAGGATGAGGCGGTGCGACGATTTTGCGCGCGTGGACTTTCGACGCGTTCGCAACTATTCACAGGCCTGCATGACCCCCCGCCAGGCCTCGATTCGAACGCGTTTGGAGACGCGGGTTTTGGGGGTGCGGTGGAGGAGGGCATCGAGCCCCCTCATCTGCGCGCGGTGGTTGGGGGGGGCGGGCAAGAGTGCGAGCGGGCCTTCGCTGCGCAGAACGGGCTCATGTCGCGCGTGCGCCACCGTCGCCGCGTCCACAGTCTTAGCCGCGTACTTGTACAACAACCAACCATTGCCATCTGCGCTGCAAATATATAGATCGCAGACGACGGCAGCTCAACACCTTCGAGCTGCCATTCAACGGGGGTGCCGAGGACAATGGGGGCCCAGGTCTACTGCGCATCATTGAACCATCAGACTTCTCTTGCAAGCTTCGTTCTTACGAGGGGGCAACGCACGTTGGCTACTGTAGCCGTATCTCTGTTCATCTTTCGTGGAGAGTTCAGAGGTCCCCACCTTCTCCGTATCAACGCGCAGCTGCTCGCCCCACTGGCGGGCCCCGAGCAAATGGCGGACCAGGGCGCGCCCAGCTGGCTGAAGCGCCCATCGGAGGGCCAGGCGTCGGCGGCCAAGCGCGGCGCGACAGGCGAG